AATTTTTTTTTCAGACACATTGACTTAAATGCGTGCCGTACCAGTTTTTCCCATGCCGACTCGCGATCTGCTGATTCGGTAGCGATTCTCAGCAAGAATGATGCCATCCGTCAGGAGTATTTCAAGCTGAAATCACAGCTTAATCCGGGTAAAGCCCCACGGAAGGAGCCGAACCTCTTGGAAAGGGTGGGATACGCTGAAAATAGTGGCTCATAGAAATGTCACTTCCGTCATTTCAGAAAAGCACTGGTCAGTCAAATTTTTACATGCTCGGTCGGGCAACCAGAGCTGTCGAGATGACCCGAGGTCTGAATTTATTGTTGGTTCCCTTTCTGAGAGGACGTTTTCAGACGACTTTGTTTTTAGGAGGACGTGAAGGAAACAACGCTTTTTTAAAGTACGAATCTGCTGCCGGTAGCAGTTTTGGCGGTGTAGAGGCGCTCATTGAGAGCGGTATCGGATATAAGGACATCGTGAAGCTTTCAAAGGAGCCCAACATCGATTCTTGTAAGTTAGAAGAGATAAAGTTTTATGTTCCTTGACTCTGCCGCTATGTCAGAAAGCTTGTGTTCCTTTCCCCACTCAGTTCTGCCAGTGGAGTTTCCTTGAGGGGCTCTTTGTAAACCTTGCAATAAAATAAGCTATCCTTATTAAGTATTTGTAATGCCTCGCGGTTTAAATTTCTTGGCTGATTTCGAAGTGGAACAGTCGAAATAGTGAGAGTCGGAGACCTCACTGCATTTTATTTTTTTTCATCAGCACACTACCCTTTTCAACCTTGAACCATGAAAAATGTGATTGATTAGCTGTTTTGCAGCGTACGACCCTGGCAGTATATCCCCCAGGGGCCGTAAGGTATGCTCCCCCGAACAGGGGAGGGCCGCCCTCCCGGTAAGGTATGCTCTCGGGGAGAGCAGAGAGAAAATTGCTTCCGGGGAGAGCAGAGAGAGAGAACGGAATCGGGGCGTCCCAGCCCCGAACAGGAGAGCATACCTTACGGCCCCATATGATAGGAAAGGAACAGTAGAGCTGCAAAAAGGATACTCAAAATAAATAGAGGAACAATCTGGTTCGAAAGAGAGAATATAAATTTTAGTGACAAACACTACTCAGTGGGTAGCGAAAATATTGGGAGAGTCCCTTGTTTTTTCCGCTGAATAGTCAAAGGTGTACCTTGACTGGTCTCACTGCACCACATCCCCCAGACTCATGTTGCTTGGTCGGATGACTGTAGGGCTGAAGAGTTCGATTCCTTAAGTGTACAGGAGTTTGCTGTCTTGCAATCCTCAACCAATTACAAAAATGATTAGTCAAATGTAAAATAGACATGCTCGGTAAAT